ATGACTTTCTCTGTATATGCTTCTTTGTATTTTACACACTTACAGATTTGTGTGTTCATTACCATAGTCAGAATACAGAGGAGTTCCATCACCCTCTCAATTTTCTGTACTATCCTTATACAGTCATACCCCTCCCCTTATCTAATTCCTGGCATCTAGCATGATCATGTCACCATTAGTGTACTTCTCTCTTTTTTGAGAATGTCATATAAGTGGAATCATACAGTGTTGTGGTAGACACATTGTAAGTGACCCACCCCCTGTATAATTCCCTCCACCTAAGTGTGAGCAAGACACGTGACTTGTTTCTAATCAATAGAATTTGGCTAAAATGATGGGATACCACTCACTGATATAGTTGCATTATGTTATATAGGACTAATTTATGTCAAATTAGATAGAGAGCCAGGTATAGAATTCTCTAAGTAGTGATTCCTAGTACATAACTATTGCAAATTAATTAAGTCACCCATTCATGCAATACACATTAATAGAGTACTTTACATTTACAATAAAGTAAGTACATTGTATCATAATGATTAAGAGCATGGGCTCTGGAGTCAAACACTTTTAAAATTTATTACCCTCTCTAATGCCTCATCTACAAAATGGGAATATTCCCAGTACCTATTTAACAAAGTTTTATAAGTATCAGAGGATGATGTAAAGAGAGCACTTGGTATAATGCCTGGCACACAGTACTGAACACTTTTGGCTTTTTTTGTTGTCATTATTATTAGTGATATTACAGTTGTTATGCAGAATGAATAAGTTATGGAGGTTATCCTCCATAAAATTATCATGTGATTATTGAATGAAGTAATATGTGAAGTGCTTGGAACAATGCCTGACACATATAAAAACTTTTATAGATATTATTATATCTATAATATTTATCTTCATTAAAATAGTCATATTGGCATTTTTATTGGTTAACATTCTTCTCCCACTACTTCTACAAAACAGGAAAATATAAAATATTATATAAGAAATTTATGTTTTCATGAGCATTTTGTTTGGAAAATAGGGAGGTGTTGTACCATACACTGATTTATCTACAATATAGAAATTAAATAAAATAAATACAAGGAATTGTAGTTTTAATGTAATGACAACACTTTATGTGCTTTTGTTTCCAAACATGTGAAATGAGAAGTCATAATGATAAATATTAAATAATAAAATATATAATTGAATGTATCTCTTCACTTAACTAAAGCTATATTTTACACTGGCCTGATAATCCTCTTGAGAGCATAGAGTTATAATTTGAAAACTTTGAAAAGATTATTTCTGTAATAAGAATGATATTTTGCTGGTAATTGTAAGATCAACTATTTTGTTCTAGAAGAGAGACTAGAAAGCAGAGTGACTTATGTAGGTTTGAATTTTACTGTTCTACGAAGTTAAAGTGATTGGAATGAGGCAGTCCCATTATTCAGGGATTTAGGTACTTCTCACTTTGATGAGTTACATTCTTCTTTAAGTATATTAAGTATATTGATTATGATATTACACTTGTCCCATTTTTTCTCTTCTTTATCCCCTCTCTGGCCTGCACCCTGCCACCCACCAATATTCTCCCCCCTTTAGTTCATGTCTATGGCTCATACATATAAGTTATTTGGCTTCTCTATTTTCTATACTATTCTTAACGTCCCCCTGCCTATTTTATGCCTACCATTATACTTCTTATTCGCTATACCTTCCCCTCCCTATTCTCCCTCTCCCTTCCCACTGATAATCCTACATGTGGTCTCCATTTTGGTGAATCTGTTCTTGTTCTAGTTGTTTGATTAGTTTTTGCTTTTTAGGTTCAGTTGTTGATAGTTATGAGTTTGTTGTCATTTTTGTGTTCATAGCTTTTGATCTTCTGTATTTCTTAGATAAGTTCCTTTAACATTTCACATAATAAGGACTTGGTAATGATGAACTCCTTTAACTTTACATTAGCTTGGAAGCACTTTATCTGCCCTTGCATTCTAAATATAGCTTTGTTAGATATAATAATCTTGGATGTAGGTCCTTGCTTTTCATGACTTTGAATACTTCTTTCCATCCCCTTCTTGCCTGTAAGGTTTCTTTTGAGAAATCAGCTGATAGTCTTACGGGAACTCCTTTGTAGGTAACTGTCTCCTTTTCTCTTGCTGCATCTAAGATTCTCTCCTTATCTTTAATATTGGGGAACTTAATTATGATGTGCCTTGGTGTGTTCCTCCTTGGGTCCAATTTCTTTGGGACTCTCTGGGCTTCCTGGACTTCCTGGAAGTCTTATTTCCTTTGCCAGATTAGGGAAGTTTTCCTTCATTATTTGTTCAAATAAGTTTGCAATATCTTGCTTTTCCTCTTTTCCTTTCAGTACCCCTATGATTCAGATGTTGGAATATTTAAAGTTGTCCCAGAGGTTCCTAAGCCTCTCTTCATTTTTTTTTTTGCATTCTTGTTTCTTTATTCTGTTCCAGTTGGATATTTATTTCTTCCTTTTGTTCCAATTCATTGATTTGAGTCTCTGTTTCCTTCCCTTCACTGTTGATTTCCTGTATATTTTCCTTACTTCTCCTTGTATAGACTTCATGTCTTTCTTCATTTTGCAACCAAGCTCAGTCAATTCTGTGAGTATCCTGATTACCAGTGTTTTGAACTCTGTATCAGATAGGTTATCTATCTCCTCATCTCTTTGCTCTTTTTCTGGGGTTTTGATCTGTTCTTTCATTTGGGCCATATTTCTTTGTCTCAGTGCATCTGCTACGTTGTAAGGGTTGAAACCTTAGGTATTTGCTAGGTCAGGGCAACCCTCTTTGCTTTGTTGTGGCACTGGCTTTGGGGAGGGTCAGAGGGAACAATGCCACTTGCTGGCTATGCTCTAGTCCCACTTTCCAATGAACTGTCCTGTGAGACTGGGAGTTTCTCCTTCCTTTTTAACCCCCACAGGTTTTACAGCTAGAGGTTTTGAGTGTTTTGTTTCTCCTTCAGCAAGCCCAGCCTCACCCGCACATCCACTGCCTTGCCATGGGTAATCTCCTCTGGATGTCTGCCCTTCTCTGCCCCTCCTGCCAGTCTGGATGAATGTTTAACACCTTAGTTGTCAGAGTTCCACACAGCTCAACTTTCTAGCAGTACTGGTTGTTTATTGTTTTTAAATTGGCTGTTATCTTTCATTTGGTTGTGCAGGGAAGCAAAGCGTTTTCTACCTATACCTCCATCTTGGGTGGAACTCCAAGTTACATTCTTTATCTAAGTCACTTCTTGATCCAGAAGTGACTTAGTCTGTCACTGAAGTTCTGTCATCATCAAATTCTAGGGGAGGAGCAAAAGAAGGAGGGAAAGTGGGAAAAAGTCCAAGTTGGCTGTTCAACCCCTTTTGAGGTATCTTCTCTAGAACCTTTATACCTATTTTTGCTTACATTTTTTGGCAAGAAATTCTATCACATGTCCATGGTTTACAGTAAGGGAGTCTAGAAAAATAACACTTTTTGAGAGGTTATATAGCCATCCTGAGTGAAACTAAGGTTCTGCTAATGAAGAAGAATTCAAAAAGTAGATTTAGCATCTACAACTAAACGTTTCTTCTGTCTTAGTTATTATAAATATGATACACAGTTGTAAAAAGGGCATTCATTATATAATAGAAGTCTATACAAGATCAAAAGGGAAAACTTTCTGTGGCAGAGAGAATGCTATATGTTCACAAAACCTTGTTTCATTCTCCTCCTGAGTCACAGGGAGACTACATTTCTCAGCCTCTACGGCAATTTTAGCTAGTTGATTGTGACCAGTAGTAAAACTTGCTAGACCTGGCACCTAAAACCTTCCATGAGATTTTTTAACACCCTTCTTTATAACTTTGGTAGCCAGGTGCAAAGAACACAATGGAGGATGTCAGGGCCAAAGAAGATGGTAGAATAATAGAATAGAAGGTTCTATTCTATTCTAGTAGAGAATCATTAAAGGAAAATCATTAAGGAACTCTTAATGATTGCATTGGAATAAAGAACCTTCCCCCTTTCTGACCACTTGATGAAGTACATTGAACTTTGACATCAGAAAAATTAACTTTTGGAGTCAAACCTCTGATATTTAAGGGTCATTTATAATATAAAGCATTACATATAATTATTAGACTCCTTATTAATACACTAGCCTAGAGATGATCATCATTATTTATTGGTATTTATTTCAATATTAATGCTTATATAAATGTTGATTTAAAAGTTATATGTATATATATATGACATATGATACACAGCTATTTCATCTCCAAATATTTTCATTCCCTAAACTATCACTAATGATATTTAAAATTGACTTTCTAAGTTAAATCAGAAATAAAAATTTATTACAAGAGAATCTTAGTAAACACAATTTTCAAAATTTATTTTAGACCTACATATAAACAAAGACATATACATTTTTAAAAATTAGTTTCCCCACATTGAATTGCCTGAGTGAAAAATACCAATGAAACATCAATATAAGAAGAAGGGATTGCTAATTATGATTCAGGTATGTGGAATGTATACTTACTACCAAACCACTGATTTTCAGCCTTTAGTTGGAAACATCCAAGTTTTTGAAGAAATCCGTGAAACTTTCCTGAAGCATTTAAGAAAAGAAATGTGTAAAATGAATGACTACCTTTGCTAGAAACAGAAAAAATATTATAAAGGAGTATTTTTTTATAAAATAATGTACAGTTTTAGTGCAATCCCAATAAAGATTCTAATCTATTTTAATTTATCTTGACCAGTTGGGTTTTAAATTTACCTGCAGTGGTAATGTGCCAGATAAGGCAAGGAAAAAATATGTCAAGAATATTTAAATTAGGTTTTTCTTTTAATAAAATGATTTGCTACCACTTTTAATTATTAAGTTACACACTTTAAGGGTTTGAATGGAAATTAAACGGATACTTGTTGCCATTTCATTTTTTAATTCCTTAAGGAAAATTTTCTACCCTTTAACACTTCAGCAGTTTAACTTGGCTGCTGTCCCTCCTCTAGTTCAGGGAGGGGCCTTTTGTCTTCTCTATCACAGGGAGGAGGCAGAGCATTCTCTAAAGAAGCTTGGAAGCATTCGGTTCCTGGACAGTCTTGGTAGAGGGACTGCATTTCAGGAGGCTGCTGCTTACAAAAAGCTTCAAGGTAATAACTGTTTTAAATCAATTTTCCAGGGACTTTCCAGGGCCCTAGAGTAAAGACGAGAAAATAGTAATGGTGGTCTTCAAGGGAGTGAAAAGGTTGTGTGGTTTTGAAAGAATTGCTGGTATTTTGAAGGAATTAATCCTTTAGAATTTCTGTGTCTCCCAATACTTTAAAAGTCCACAGTAGGAAAATGGATGATCAGATTACAGCCTCTATTATTAAGATCTCAGTGCAGTATAGCCATTCATGCTAATATAATGATTTGGCATTCCATGTTTATGTTGCTGGAATTTTGTTACTGTTTGAACAAATTTACATAGAAAATGATGGATAAAATATTTGACAGCAAGGAGAAGAATGCTTTTAAATTGATTGTCACACAGAAAGATTGTGTGTCACCTTTATATGAACATGGAAAGAGAAACAGATATGTAGTTTACTGAAGATACTTCTACATACACATGCATATATCTGTATACACACATTATAGAAATGTATATAAAATATATATTATATACACACACACACACACATACCCTGGGAGATAATAAACTCTCATGTTAGCATTTCCAGGTGGTCAGGTTACTAGTATTATAATACTACTTTTTAGCCTATTTAAGCATATTTAGAGTAGATTTTTCCGTGATTATTTTTATAATTGTGAAAGAAACAACATACCCATTTTGTTTAAAACACATAAACATTCATAGACATACACAGATATGCAAACATCTTCCCTTTGTTTTTTGCTGATAGTGGACATTTTCCTGGACTTGATCAAGTGTGTAACCTGGTTGCTGTGTTGGCTACAGCCCTATGTGTGTCCTCCTTGCAGCTGATTCTTTCAAACAACAGGTATGACAATTGTCAGGAAGAACCACTTTTCTATATCCTTTAATAGTGAAACAGAGAAAGGATTGGATTTATTTCTATAAGCAGTTTTTAAAGTATTATGTGAATGCTGTAACCACCCAGTAGAATATTATGTATCTGGAGAATAAATATATGTGGTGATTTGAAAATAAATGTGTATGTTGTAGTAAAACATATATGCTACTATAATACATGTACCTGAATCTGGCAGAACATATATGTTGCACTATTAACAGGATCATTTGCGTAGTAAGAGAGACAGAGCTAGCTTTATTGCTCTCTATTTAAAATAGTATTAATATATAATTATTTATTTATTTAGTTTACATCATCGGGGAAATATTGAGATAAAATATTGCAGATGTGGAAAAATACATTAAAATAATTCATAACAATCATGTGGAAAATATTTATGTAGACTGATGTTCAAAATATGTCCTTAATTGAGATCTGATGTTGGTTTGAAAAGATTCATCTCTACATGTAAAATAAAATTTTGGAAATATAGAAAATATTCATAGTAATTATCTGTACAGTTGTAATTTATTTTGTATCTCTGTATATTTTTAATTTTTAATAAGATTCTGTGTGTTTTTATAATCAGAAACATTGTAATTGGAGACAATATGATCTTGTTATAATCCTACAAAGCAAAACCCTTGAACTTAGAATAGAAAATTGCAGAAGCCTGAGAAGTCTTCTGTCTGGGGAAATGTAGTTCCTATGCTTCACATTAAAAGGATCAGGTCATGATCCAGTCTTACCTATACTTCCTGGGGAAGCTGCAGTTCTATTTCTGGTCACAAGATGGGGCTTGCTAAGTTTACTGAATTTTCTCAAGGCAACCATTTTTATGAAAATGGCAAGCAAAACAATGAAACATATTTTTGTATTAGTGGACTATGAGACAGTATGTAAAGTATTATTAAAATTCCAACCAAAAGTATATGTGCTAAGAAGGAAAAATCCACACAGTGATCAATGTGAGGATTCAAAGAACATTTACAGTCTGGCTCATAGTAGACACAAGGATTTTTGTTATTTCCCTTCTCTTTTGTCCCCACTTCACACTTTTCCAGTTTAAGAGATGATTCCATCATGAATCAAATAGAATTGTGTCACAAAGAGAATTTTTAAAAAAGAATAAGGGAAATAAACATGGCATCTACATGACAAATGAGATTTCATCACATTCCTGTGTTTCAGAATGACATACCTTCTAAAGTTTTGGTAAGGAAGTTTCTTTATGCTTTTTCCATTTATTTGTTTTGAATTCTTATCTCCTTTTATATAACCTTTCTTCTTTTGAAGTGAAAATCAAAACAACTAGATCAAAGGAACCGATCTTCTGTGATCCATGTAATACTGGGTAAGGCTCATTACATTTCATATTAAAACCTTTTTTGAGAACTTGAGCTATAATTTATTTTTCTTCCTTCTCTGCAGCCAGAGCATTTTACATACTGTCCAGAAGCCACATTTCATACTAAAACCATGTTAGACTGAACATTTGAGGTATCATTCATTTTGCTCCCCATTCAATAGCCATAACATTTTGTAATTAAAAGTCATCACTTTTAGTTTGGGAAAAGGATCTCATATGTTAAACCACTATGAAGAAGTTGTGCAAGAGGCTATTCAGGTTTCTACCTGAGTTTTTAGCCACCCGACTCTCAAGAAATCTCTGATAACTATCCTATTTAATGACTTAACATAGCATATATTCTGAATCTCTGCCTTCTAAACTCATGCTTTTAATAAGGTCATTGTGTTATTGTTGGGATCCAGGAGATGCACAGCTTATTATCTTGGTCTGCCTGATTCAGGTAAACAGGAAAATGTTTATAACTTAAAAATTATAAATTATATAAATTATGAAATAGTCCTTCTAAATTCTTGGACAATTTACAATAAAATCACTTGAGAACTCAGAAATACAAAATGTTGAATTTTATTTAGACCTTCTGGATAATACTCTCAGGATAAGGCCTAGAAATATAGTTTTATGAAGGCCTCTAGATAATTCTGAAGCATGTGAAGTTCAGGGTCCCCCTGCTCTATGTATAAAATTGGGAATACAAATGCCCCAAACTACCTAATAGCATAGAATCCCTGACACACCACTGCAAACTTTCACTCCTCTTCCAGAATGTACACCAACTCAATCCTTAATAATCATGTGCAATAGTAAGGGCAAGTTCTTGAATTTGACGTATTATAAACCACCTCTTCAGTTCCTACCCTCAACTTACATTATGCTGCATTTTCCCCTCCATCTCATGCCCCACTGACTATTATTCTTTATTTTATCTCATCTCTATTTATAATCACTCACCTTCTGCTTTGGCAAAATAACTATTTGCTGATACTTTTCTTCTTTTCCTTTTTCTTATTCTAGTATCTTCCATATCGACCTATATAAACAACAAGATCAAGCATACTTGGGAAAATCTACTGGAGGAGAACAGGCTACAAGCTATAAATAGTTTGTAGTTCTGAGACAAAGGAGATTTTGGTGAGAGTGTTGTTTTTGGTAGGAACAGCCTTAGCGGTGAGAAGAATAGACATACACCTCAGTGTCTGATAACAATCTTTTAACACACAAATCTAAATCACAATGGATGCTGAATATGTCTTATGCAATTGGAAAGACCAGTTCTGGCCAGCAAAAGTTTTATCCAGATCTGAGACTTCATCAAACAGTAAGAGAAAAAAGACATTTTTCCTAGAAGTTCAAATACTTTCACTAGGTGAAAAAATTAAAGTGGAAAGCACAGAAACAAAAATCCTAAATAAATCTCAAATTGAAGCCATTGCCTCCTCATTGGCAGCACAATCAGAGGGCAATTCACCTAGAGATGAAACAGCTTATGAAAGGTCACTAAAAGTGGCACTGGGTGTTCTGAATGAGAGAACAAATTTGAATCAAGCAAGCAGTTCAGATGAAGAGAGCACTACACTGTCTCAACATGTATCACAAAAGCTTTCTGATTTACCCCCTCGTAAAAAGTATCGGAAGCATAAAGGAGACTTGTCGAAGTATCTTGAGGAAAGTGAAAATCAAACATCCCTGTTAGTATCTTCAGAGAGTGATGACTCCCTATATGATGAAAAACCACAGGTGCATGCAACCATTGATACTATTCCAAGTGAGATGGAAACAAAGTTATCACCAAACTCCAGATGGTGCCAAACATTCCCTTCAATTTCAGAAGAAGATGAAAAGGAGGACAAAAAAAATATTGACATCGTGTCTTTGCATTCCACAATCAAAGAAGAAGATGCTTATGTTAAGGAAGAGAAGTTCACTCCAACTTCACCATCAGATATCTTAATTGTGCCCAAAGCTTTGAAAGAGGAGCCAGAGGACATCTGCCCAGAAACCCTGGCTGTTTCCCCTGAATTCCCTACCTTCTCAGACTCAGAGAATATTGATGATCCTGGAGAGGGTCCCTCGAATTCATGCTTAAATACCAGCCAGAATCAACTTGTGGAATCAGGGATGGGTGCTGTGGTGTCCTCACAGCATTGTTCATGGGAATGTCAGCTTTCATATAGTGCTTTTAATTGTGTCATGGATTCTTCACTTATTGGGAATAATGAAAGAAGTCTTCAGAGTGTGGATTTGGAGGAACATGGGGAAGAACTTCAAGCTTCTGATAAGTCAGTACCTCAAAATCCTATTGATACTTCTGTATATGATGATGATGATGATGATGAAGATGAAGTACTTCCACGCCTTGTTTTTAATTACGAACCACGTTCATTTGAAACAGGTATGATAGTCTGGTTTAAATATAAAAAATATCCATTTTGGCCAGCAGTGGTGAAAAGCATCAGGCGAAAAGAGAAAAAAGCAAGTGTGCTTTTTGTTGAGGCAAGCATGAATCCTGAAAAGAGAGGCATTAGAGTGCCTTTGAGAAGATTAAAGAAATTTGACTGTAAAGAGAAACAAGAACTAGTGGAGAAAGCCAAGGAGGATTACAGTGAAAGTATTGACTGGTGCATCTCGCTGATTTGTGACTACAGAGTTAGAATAGGTTGTGGTTCTTTTACAGGTTCTTTCCTTGAATATTATGCTGCTGACATTAGTTATCCAATCAGAAAAGTAATCAAACAGGATACCTTCAGGAACTTATTTCCAAAGCTGCACAATGAAGATTCTATGGAACCAATGGCCATGACTTCCCAGACCAAGAAAATGTCCTTCCAAAAAATTCTCCCTGACCGAATGAAAGCAGCTCGGGATCGAGCCAATAAGAACCTAGTGGACTTCATTGTGAATGCAAAAGGAACAGAGAACCATCTTCTATCCATTTTAAATGGCACAAAAGGGTCCAGGTGGTTGAAATCATTTTTGAAAGCAAAGAGGTTCACTCCCTGTATTGAAACATACTTTGAGGATGAAGATCAGTTGGATGAAGTGGTGAAATATTTACAAGAAGTCTACAAACAAGTAGATGAAAGAATGCTGGCTCTGATAAGAGATGATAAAATTAAATTTATCCTAGAAGTTCTTCTGCCAGAAGCAATTATTTGTTCAATTTCTGCTGTTGATGGCTTGGATTACAAGGCAGCAGAAGCAAAGTATCTAAAAGGACCATCTCTAGGATATAGGGAAAGAGAGTTATTTGATGCTAAAATCATATTTGAAAAGAGACGGAAACCATCAACAAAAGCTCACTAAATTACCTAAGCACCCAAATTATAACAGGAAGCTTTCATAGATACTAATTAAAATAAATCTCTCTAACATATGTTTTCCAGAAATGAGCAACTTTAGGTAATATGTTCACTTTTTTTGATCTCTGTGATCTGTGAATATTACTACATTAACATTTTCTTTCTCGTGCTTCTTCAATGGCCATTTTATCGACAAATTTCAGCAGCTCTAATGTCTCGTACATTTCTAGAATTCATAACACCTAGATAATTTTTAAGGGAAAGTACTGTTTTGTTTTCTTGACATATTTGTGTCTATGCTGTATATTAATTATAGTGCACAATCATTTACATATAGAAATTGCACTAGTATTAGATATTAAGCAAGATGATTACAAAAATCTAAGAAAATTCGAGTATATATTTTTGCTCAGTTTTTATAAAATATTGGGTTTCTCTTAAAATAGTTGAATTATTTTTCCTGCCATGTCTATTTATTTTTAAAGAAAAAGTTTCTGAGATGTAGAACCAAAGATGAAGATGCTTTGCTATATATTATAACTAGCTGTGATTGTTTTTGCAAGAAAACAATCTGGAATTAAAAAATAAAGTAAATGGATTACCTGCATGCCATCTATATTTTTTAGAATAACATCTCAGCATGCAGAAAATAATATTGGCAACATGGAACAGGATTGTTCATTCTACACTTCCCTGAAATTCAATTTGTTGAGTGTCTTATTATTCAAGAGCTGAGCAGTTTCTTAAAACAGACATGTTTTGGGCTGCCTGTATAACTAATAGTGACTGTATCTTAATACAGCCATCTTGCCACATGTGGAAAGCAGCTATTGTCATTGTATTCATAGTCTGGCTACTCTAGATTATAAGGCCAGGCTGACTGCTTAAGGCATCCATCTAGTTTGATAAAAATTATAGAGAATGCAAGCACTTTGTTCTTAGTATTGTATCTCTAAATACATAGTCATTTGTTTCAAACCAAGCAATTTGTATCATATGGCTTATTCATAGAATACTTCAGTTGGTTTTCCAATGCTATAAATGCCAGGTAGTAAGTCATTCCAGGCTTAACAAAAAGTAGATGGACCAGAATCTGTGAATTTGGAAATGGGTCATAGAAAAAGCCTCCATTTGGCTAAGTATGACAATTATTCAAATGTATTTAAAAGTACACAGCTAAAAGTAAAAGTCTGAAACCAATGAATAGCTTATTCTAACTTGAAATAAGACTAGTGAAAATAAATGGTTTAAGGGCTACTTTATTCTAGAAACTTGACATAAAAATAAACACTAAAAGCTTAACATGAACCTGACTGAATCTTTACTCTTAGAGTAAGACAGCTGTTACTCTTGGCTTTTGTTATCTGTTCACATGGCCACATGTTTATGTAAAATTTGCAAAAGTTTGAAATTTTGATTTGTAATAAAGCCACTCTATCTTTCATTTTAGATGTGTACTTCATTACATTTCAGACTGTATAGTTAAATAACTGGTGTTTCTCTTACTGGAATTTTTGCTTGTTGTAGTTGTCATCATTTTAAGGCTTGTTATACATTATCTTATCATTCTAAATAAATATTCACTTTCATGGTTGATTTTGCATTACTTTAAAAGAAAGCCGTCCAAATTGTATAAGCGTTAGATTCCATATGATCTCACCTTTAACTGTAACCTAATCAACAAAACAAACAAAACAAACTAGCAAGAAAAATGTAACCAGAGGTAATGAAATTAACAGTCTGACAGTAACCAGAGGCGTGGAGGGAGGAGATAATGGGGGGAAGAGGGAAAGGTTTTCAGGAACAACTGTAAAGGACACATGGATAAAACCAAGATGGGGTGGAAGCAAGGGAGGGAGGTCAGGAGGGTTGGGGAGGGGGAGAGTTGTCGAGGGTAAATACAGACAACTAATTGAACAACAATAAAATAATTTTTAAAAAAGATTCCACAGAGACTTGTCTTGGTCTGCCTGACAAAAACCAAGAATCTTTTGGCATGCAGCCTATATCAGTCCTTATTAGCTTCCTCATAATTCTGAGGAATGTTTGAAAACAGACCATTACCACACCATAGGAGGATCTCATATCCTGGGAAAACACACTGTGTTTATAACATTCTGTCCCTTTGATTCCAATATATTTACCACATTCAGTTTTCTCTTTGAACCCATTTAATTTCTTGGTTTTGATGTTGCTTTTTAAAAATATATTTTATTGATTATACTATTATACTACAGTTGTCCCACTTTCTTCTCTTCCCTCCACCCTGCACACCCTCTCCCACCCACATTCCCCCACTTTAGTTCATGTCCATGGGTCATACTTACAAGTTCTTGGCTTCTACATTTCTTGTAATATTCTTACCCTCCTCTTATCTATTTTCTACCTACCATCTATGCTCCTTATTCTCTGTACGTTTTCCCCCTCTCTGCTCTCCCATTCCCCTGTTCATAACCTTCCATGTGATCTCCATTTCTGTATTTCTATTCCTGTTCTAGTTATTTGCTTAGTTTGCATGTTTTTGCTTTAGGTGTGGTGGTTAATAATTGTGAGTTTGCTGTTATTTTAATGTACATGTTTTTTATCTTTTTTTCTTAGATAAGTCCCTTTAACATTTCATATAATAAGGACTTGGTGCTGATGAACTCCTTTAATTTGACCTTATCTGAGAAGCACTTTGTCTGACCTTCCTTTCTAAATGAAAGCTTTGCTGGATAGAGTAATCTTCCATGTAGGTCCTTGCCTTTCATGATTTGTAATACTTCTTTCCAGCACCTTCTTGCCTGCAAGGTCTCTTTTGAGAAATCAGCTGACAGTCTTATGGGAACTCCTTTGTGGGTAACTCTCTCCTTTTGTCTTGCTGCTTCTAAGATTCTCTCCTTATCTTTAATCTTGGGTAATGTAATTATGATGTACCTTAGTGTGTTCCTCCTTGGGTCCAACTTTGGGATTCTCTGAGCTTCCTGGACTTCCTGGAAGTCTATTTCCTTTGCCAGAATGGGGAAGTTCTCTGTCATTATTTGTTCCAATATCTCTTCCACTTGTTGCTCTTCCTCTTCTCCTTCTGGTAACCTTATAATTTGGATGTTGGAATATTTAAAGGTGTCCTGGAGGTTCCTAAGCCTCTCCTCATTTTTTTGAATTCTTGTTTCTTCATTCTTTTCTATTTGGTTGTTTCTTTCTTCCTTCTGGTCAGCTCCATTGATTTGAGTACCAGTTTCCTCCCCATTGCTATTGGTTTCCTATACATTTTCCTTTATTTTACTTAGCATAGCCTTCATTTCTTCATCTAATTTGTGACCAAATTCAACCAATTCTGTGAGCATCCTGATTACCAGTGTTTTGAACTGTGCATCTGATAGGTTGGCTATGTCTCCATCGCTTAATTGTATTTTTCTGGAGCTTTCATCTGTTCTTTCATTTGGGCCATTTTATTTGTCTTGACCCGCCTGTTACATAGTGAGGGGTGGAGCCTTAGGTATTCACCATGGCAGGGCAACCCAGGTAGGTGTGTTGTGATGCTGTATGTGGGGAAGGGGTCTGAGAGGGAACAATGGCACTTGCTGTGCTCTCTGCCAGATTTCAGTCACTTCCCCTGCTTCCCACAAACAAATTGGACCCTTCGGGTGGTCATTCCTGTGTGGGTGGGTTTGTGCATATTCTGGGACCCTGTGGATTTCCAATAAACTCTCCTGTGAGGCCGGGAGTTTCTCCAGGTGCTTCAGTCCTCACAGGTGTTGGCAATCAGTGTTTTGAGGCTTTATTTCCCTACGCTGGGACCCTGGGTTTCTTGGTCAGTCTCACTCCCCAGTTTTGCCTGGTTTATCTGCATGCGAATGTGGGACTGGATGGGCCATGCCCCTCTACAATCTGTCACTCCACTGGGTCTGCCAGTTGCCACCTTGCATGTCTGGAGTCCACCAGCTGCCCTGCCCTCAGCCCTCTCTGTCCCTGCTCCCCAACTCCGCCCCTCCTACCAGTCTGGATGGATGTTTCTTCTTTAACTCCTTGGTTGTTGGACCTCCATACAGTTCAGTTTTCTATCAGTACTGGTTGTTTTTTGTTTTTAAATTGTTGTTGTCCTTATTTTGGTTGTGCAAGGAGGCACAGTATGTCTACCTATGCCTCTATCTTGGCAGGAAGTCTGATGTTGCATTTTTTCAAATATATTTTGATTATGCTATTACAGTTGTCCCATTTTTCTCCTCTTTATTCCTATACACCCTGTACCCCCCTCCTACCAGCATTTCCCCACCCTAGAATATGTCAGTGGGTCATACATATAGGTTCTTTGGCTTCTCCATTTCCCATACTATTCTTAACCTCCCCCTGTCTATTTTGTACCTGCCATTTATGCTACTTAGACCCTTTACCTTTTCCTCCATTCTCCTCCCTCCCTTTCTCTGATGATAACCCTCCATGTAATCTCTATTTCTGTGCTTCTGTTCCTGTTCTAGTTGTTTGCTTAGTTTGTTTTTATTTTTGTTTTTTTATGTTCAGTCGTTTATAATTGTGAGTTTGCTGTCATTTTACTGTTCATATTTTATCTTCTTTTTTAAGTAAGTCCCTTTAATATTTCATATAATAAGGGCTTGGTGATGATGAACTCCTTTGACTTGATCTCATATGGGAAACACTTTGTTCTTCCATTGTAAATTATAGCTTTGCAGAATAGAGTACTGTTGGATATAGGTCCTTGTTTTTCATGACTTTGAATACAGTGATCCCTCATCTATCACAGGAGTTACATTCCAGAGAACCCTGTGATAGGTGAAAATTTGTGAAGTAGCAGTGTTATATTTATTTTATTATTTATATATATTTTAAGGCTTTATAAGCCCTTCCCATGCTCTTAAAAACCTTTCCCACTGTCTTATTAACCTTTCCCACATACTTATAAAAACTTCATATGCTCTTAAACACTTTCTACACTCTTAAACCTATGCAATTGTAACAATGTATAAAATTCTATATGAGTACTCACCAGTGAAGTATACTACAACTCAAATGATGAAGATCATGAATTATGTGGCTATGCAATACTGATGGCGATGAAGGTGATGGTGATGAGATGAATGTACTGCACAGAAAAGAAGAGCATCACAGCTCTTCTGAAGGCACCACTTCATCAGGCACTTCATCAGGTGGTACAGTATCTTCACCCTGGGCGGTAACTTCTATTTCTGCTAAAGGCATACGTGTTACTGATCTCTTTGTCCGAGTGATGAACATAGTCAGGGGAGTTGCTGGCACTGCTTTTTATCTACAGAGGTAGCTTCTCCATGCAGAGAAATACTCCTGAGTCCAAAGCATCT